ACAGTAGTTTGGAAGCACTTCTGTTCAGTTCCTCGCCTTTTCAGCCATTATATTGATTTGGATTTGAGGGAGCTTCAGTGGTGGTGGAATGTTTGGGTACATTTCCTGTAGTGTTAAAATCTTGATAGATTCCTGATATTTTGTTAATATGAACTAAGAAATTATTTATTCAAAAACTGAAATGACTCTGGCCTGTATTCTTTCATCTTCATTCAGTTATTAGGTCTCTTCATTTCTTCTCCAATTACTTTTTCCATTAGTTTGCCAATATTCTGCACCTTTGGGCTAGGTATATGTATTTCTGCAAATCTCTCTCTCTCTCTCTCTCTCTCTCTCTCTCTCTCTCTCTCTCTTTGTTATGGTCTGATACTTTTGGTGATTTTGTGATTTTAGCTAAATTTGCATAGGTTTTCAAAAAGAGTTGATAAAAATTTTAAGGATTTTTAATTAGAAGTAATTTGGCTTTTGTTTTATTTTCTAGATAATTCTTTATTACCTTGCTGTCTTTTGAAAGTAAAAAAGTCAGTATATCATAGAAGAATAATTATTACTGATGTAATTAAATTATATGCTCTCAAAAATTTGTGAAAGAAAAAAATCAATACAAATTCTTAATACTCTAATTTGGCATTTATATAATATGAAAGGTTTTTTGGGGGTGATTTTCTGATGGGGTAATCCTAAATAATATATTAAGAAGTTAACTATGTCTGAAATCGATAATATCTTATTTAGGAGTAAGCTTCACTGAAATTGTGAGGCTTTTCTTGGAGTAAATGTGACTTTTTGCTTAAAATTTTCAAGAAACCATGTGTTTCAAATGTTAAAGCTGGACTTACTACAATTTTAAAATTAACTATACTTGCCCAGTGCCTGTAATTTTGCTCATTGTGTGCAAGTGCTGACAATGATATTTTCCAGCTGAATATGACACAGTTATGACAATGATCTTTTACTGATATTAGTGAGAAAGTCGATCAACCTAAGATGATATTAATGAATATTAGAGAAGAATGTTACTAGTACAAATTGTAGAATTGCTGTGAAAATATAGAAAAACTACCTTAAAAATACAAATAATATTGTGGTAGAACCTGAGTTAATCACAGTTATAATTGATGTCTTTAATATCAAGTTAGTTGTTATTTATGAGAATCTACTCTTAGGTAAGTTCATGTCTCTGCATGATTTATTAATTGGAATTTAGATAGGTATTTAAATATTCTTAAAACTTGTGCATAATTTTATGCCTTTTTTCTTTAGACAATTGGTTTTTCTATGTTATTGCAAATTTCATAGTGCCCTAATTTTAAAAGTAGTTTACCATATGACTTCCATTTGGGGAAAAATACAATAAATAAAATCTAAAGATTCCTGTAGGTTAGAGATCTTTGTCTGTGGTTCTTGGAATCCTGCCTACATTTCCTGAAATCATTTTATTGCTGTAAAACACTTTTAGCACTGTGAAACACTACATGCTTCTAAATTTCAATAACTGCTTTAATATCATAATACTTTTCATACTGCCATACTGTAATACATTTAATACTTTAATTCTTTTCACTTTCTTTGCTTCGCCTATGGTAGTAAAGTGCATTGGAGTAATATGAGCTGAGAGATAGCTATATGCCTAGCTCTGTTTATATGAAACTTAAGAAAAATAAAAGAAAATCCTGGCAAAAAAGCAGAGAAAAAAAATGTACAAAAAATAATTTGATATCCAATTCTGATAGCCAACTAAAAAGATAGTTGAATTATTTGATGCAGATCTGTTAGTGATTCTATGTTGAATATATGACAAATAGTAAAAAGAAAAGTTTTCTAGGTATAAGAATGAACTTAATAGAGTCATAGGGTTGAAAGAGACATTTAATTCAATATACTACTCAATGTAGGAATCCAAACTCAAGCATCCCCCAACAAATGGTTGTTCGACTTATATCCAGAGACAACCATCACCATTTTATTTAATTAATGCCACTGTTGTATTGTTTTATTTTCAGGAACTGCTTTCTAACTTCTACTTGAAATGACATGCTCTAGATCCCTTGCAAGTAATCTTCCTAAATCTCTCTATTTCCCTTTTAAAGCTGAGGGTTACATTTCCTGACTTAAAACAGTTTTCAAGGATTTCTCAAAAGATAATACATAAAGATTTAGGCAGTATTTTAGTTCTTAATCAGTTCTCTTAATACTGCTCATCTGGCTTAAGAAATTAAAAATCATTCAGAGTAAATAACTATTATTTGAAGTTATTTCTTTCAATCTCAATTTTCAACCCAGGCCCTTAATTCTGTTTTTTACAGAACACATATAGTAGAGCACATATGGTCTTTTCAAACTGCACTAAAACAAGAATTAGGGAACTGTGTTTTTTCAGTGTTTCCTGTTAGCATTTTGCTATCTACATTCTTTTTATTTTGAATTGTTTGGGGGAAAAAAACTTAAATGTTGTGAGCATTCTTTGTAATCTCATCCCTTTTTTGACCTTAGTCTTTCTGATATTTCTTCTGTTCTGGGATATCTGTACATATATTTTTATTTATAATCTCTCTTGTTTTCCAGGTCCTTTATACGGCCTTTATTTTATTGTCAGATCTTCACTAAGTTTTTAGCGCAATGACTTTGGATTCTTTTGTCTTTTATTTTTGTCTTCATTGAAATTGCTTGCAACTGTATTTTTTTTTAAAGAACTTGTACTCAAATTGAATTTCTTTCCTGTTAGTTTTTTTCTTGCCACACAATTCTATCTATTACTGCTCTGACTTTTTTTTAAAATGCAGATTTCCTAATGCTTTTAAACTACATTAAGCATTAAATTTATTAAAATAAAATATTTCAGGACTTTATTGTCACTTTCCTCCAACGTTCTAACTAAATATTTTCCATTGGTTAAGTCAAAGTTTGCTTAATTTCTTGTGCCTTCGTCCACCTCTAAGAGAGAATGTTATCAGCAAGAAGGTTTCTTGGAAATATGAAGGTGTTATGTCAAGTTAATTATATTTACTGTCATGGCTATATTTAAGTTCTCTTCTTCATTTTTGGAAAACAGCCCCATATGGTAGAAGAAATAGTAATAAAACCAATAATTACATTGTTTTTATTTTTACCTACTTATTTTAACTGAGATACCACTTAATGCATTGCCAAATTTGTTTAGCTTTGTTATGATTATTTTAATGTATACTGACATGCTTTCTCTCTTTCTTTTTCTCCTATTTTTAATTTCTGTATCATCCAACCAAATTCCTATTAGATCTAGCAAACATATTTGTCTTTCTATACTAAGAACTGAAGTTTGTCTTTGCTAGCATTAGAGTATAGGTAATGAAGAACATGCAATTTTTGAGTCAATATTATTTATGGTTTGTTGATCAAGTCAAGTTACTTAGATCTAGTTACAGTAGTATTTCCACCTTATCCTGTAGTGCCCAAGATTGAATGTAGGTATCTGTATAAAATGAATTTTTGTCATCTTGTGGAATAGAGGAAGCATGCCTTTTTTGTCATAGCCCCTGTCCTCTGCAGTAGCATCCCTCAGAGATATGGATGATGTCCACTCTCCTGGGATTTCCTAGATAAATAATAACACACACACACACACAAAACCCAGATTCAGTTTAAAGCTCTTCTGATCAAACTCTCCAGTGAACACAGTTACCAGTCTTGGGAATTACAACCCATCTTGTGCTATTTAATGATACATAACTCACTCGAAATCCCAGAAACCCACATCTCACTTGTCTGCACCACTTGCAAGCCAGAATCTTCGTAGTACTTGTCTTTCTCTTCCTATTCTTCTACCATAATAATAACAATGGATGGAAGTATCATCTGAGACACTAAATTGTGTGGACTAACGAAAAGGGATAATTGTCAGTGGACATGATATATCTTAGAATTTTTCTTTTCACTTTTATAATCTATTTTCCTGACAAACAATACATTTAATGAATCAATCACTTTGAATATCACATCTTTATTTCTGTTCATAATAATGAGTTGACTAGTAACATTATTATTTTCTAAGTCCTCTTGCAGGGGCATATCTGCCTCTAGGAAACCACTTTGTGGCTTCTGTTCAGCAGTGCCTCTTTTCTTTCCATGAAGGCTGAAGCTCTTTTTTTTTCCCCTCTGAAGGTTTCAAAGCTATTGCTGAATTCCAGTGGCACAGAATATTATCTCTATGGCTTATTAGTAATTGTTACTCTTGTTTGTTGGGCTTGTTTCATTTAATATTCTTTCTTATGGAAAATAATTTCATTTCTCAGCAATTTTTGCAGCATCCTATTTATTTGATCTAATACATTTTTATCCTCTCTTATGAGATGAAGTATGGACAGTTGCTGCTCTATTTTTATTTTTTCACAAATACCTCCATAAACTTGCCATTGTTGCAGAAAAATACCAGGTAATTTCAGTTCAGAACACAAATCTTGCAAACTGAATCATGCATATTTATCTTCATTTCTGTTTCTTAAGCTATCATAAAAAGAGATTTTTATTCTATCCTCAAACTGTTAATTTAGTTGAGTACTTAATGTTAACTTTAACAAGTACATTTATTAGGAAGTGCCCCTTAAATTCTGTTACCAAATTGTTGCTCTCCCTATTTATTCATTCCTGAAAACTGGCTGTCTTTATTAATTTTAGGGTATCTGTAAGTCTCTGCTTACCCAATCACTCTATCACTTAGAATAGACAATCTCCTATCAGCATAGAATGCATTGTCAAGCATATTAATTCTTGTATGTTCTCTTAGTCTAATTGAGAAGGGTGAGCACTAGAATTGCAAGGCTAAGGGTTGTTTAGGATCAATGTAACAGTAATTGGCATATCATTCACTTATTTTCTATATTCCCATATAAAAGGAGTGAACAATAAAATTGGTCAACTACAGTGTGAATATAAAGTTAATTATATTTATATATATAAATCAAATATGAGTGCCCATAATATCTTTTCTAATGTAATAATGTATTTACATTTTTTATTGATAGGACTCACTGATTCTTGAAAAATCTCAGAATTGGAGCTCCCAGAAAATGGACCATATTATGATTTGTTGTGTTTGCCTTGGAGATAATAGTGAAGATGCTGATGAAATAATTCAGTGTGACAATTGTGGAATAACAGTACATGAAGGTAATTCTATCATGTCTTCAACTTAAATCTAAGTAATTATTATTTTTTAATATTGAGTGAATTTGTTTATTAGTAGGTTAAATGAATGGGTTTAATAATTGTCTCATAATGTAATTAACAGAATTCATAGATATGTATATCCTGATGAATAGTGTATTATTAAAATGATATTGCTAAAGGTGTACAATATTACAGGGCTAATAGCTTGAGGTTTGAAAAGAACTGTTTTTTAAAAAATCCAGATGACAGGTGCTTCTTTGACTTGACTGTTTCCTGCTTCTTCCTGTTTACACACAGAAATGAAGGACTAATCAGAAATTCATGCATTTCCAACTTATTGGTCGTATTGATTGGTGTGTAATACAGATGTAATATTGGCATAATACAGGCACTTATTCATCAACCATTTGAAGTTGTAATCAGATTGAATAAAATGTTTCATGACTGGTCCTTGTCGTTCACAGTCATATGATTACAATTTTGGTGCTTGGCAACCCGTTCACAATTGTGGTCATGTGATCACCATTTGTAACCTTCAATTCTGCCTTCCAACAAACACAGTCAATGGAAAAGGCACAAATGATTATCATGAGATGCTGTGCTTAATGACCATAACACTTAACGGCAACTGGAACTGCTGCTAACGCCAACGTGCAGTCGTGTAACATTGTACGTTACAACCATGTTGCTTAGTGATAGTACTGTTACTGTTATTAATTATTATTGTTAATCAAGTATACTTGTATTCTGTATGCTTTTTTCCACCTCAACTTTTTGAGTTTTGAATAGAAATAAAAAAAATGAGTAGGATCCTTTGTTTCAGAAAAACAACCAGTTTTGTTGAGGTTAAATGTTATTAAATATGTATTAAATGTTGGTAGTAGGTAGGCTACTGTATAATTTTTCAATTGAGGAGCTCTGATTTGCAATTATGTATTTGTACAGAAATAATGGTAAGATACTGTAAAATGCCCTGAAATTCCATCAGAATGATTGGTTGAGAAGAAACATTATATTCCTATTTTATACATATTCAGCTTCACTGAATATAATTGAAATTAAGATTTAACTGTTCCAATATAATCTTAATATTATTTTATCTCAAATCATAAACTATGCTTGAAATGCTATTCATTTAAATAGATTAGGATAGATTTCTTTAGGACCAGAAATAGGGATGATAAAGTGGTAACCAAGTTATAGTCTAAGAGTCCTGGTTTCTCCTTTATGTGAAATAAAATTGACCCACATTCCATCCTTTCATAGCCCCATCTACATAATAGTTCCTAACTATAGGCCTGTGGCAAAACTTGATAGTACTGATTTCTGAGGCTGGTTTATTTTCCAATATACAATTTATGATTGTTGGAGTAAATGGTACCTATACATTTATAGGTACCATTTACTCCAACAGTCATAAATTGAACTGTTAATAATAGAAAAATAAGTATGGAAGATGGAAAGCATGCCTTATATTAAAAGTATCTTCATATAATAGATTAGGCATGGTTTCTGCAATATATAGATTCTTGTTTTGCTCATAATAGAACTTCTTTATTATTAGATCTGAATGTGAAAAAAAATTGGTTGACTAGCAATTAATAGAAGGTATTATTGCTCAGTTCTAGAGAAGAAATGTAATCATTTTGAAGTGCTTTTTAAAGTGCTTTTTATAAATGTTCTTTTGTTATTTTCCATTTTTAAAAGTGAAATTCCAAGGCTATTGTTTTTATGGCTATCTTTAAACAAAAATCCACTAAGCTAAATTATAATATTGGAACAGCATTTCCACCTGTATCCATTTTCCTTATCACAAAAGGTCTAAAGAAAAATACCTGGTACTTATTACATTTTGACTTAGAGATGTAGATGATTCATTTGTCTATAATTCATTTGTCTATTATGCATTTGTACATACTTCCTTGTTTACTGTAATATAGTTGTTTACATACTGGAAAATATCCTGAATACTAATTTATGTTGCAAGCATTATTCGAAAGTCATCTTCATTCCTATTCTTATAAAACTTTTTTTGCTTTTTCTTCAAGATTCTCTGTTCACTGTTACATTGTTATTAGTGGTGCTTAATACGCTATTTAACCATTCTTACAATGGCTTGAAACAGTCCTTGCTTTAAAATACTGTTTATCCTGATTTTTTTTCTGTTGATAGGTAATTATGCAGTACAATTAAATATACAATTTAAAAAAAGTTTTTTACTTTTCTTGGAATCAGCATAATTATAGAAAAATTAAAAGTGTATAGGGGCTTCTGCAGATATTAAAAAAAAATATATCCTTTTTTGTTGTTGTTGTGAAAACCGTAGAGCCATGGTGGCGCAATGGTTAAAATGCAGTACTTCAGGCTAACTCATTGCTCACTCCAGGAGTTCGAATCTTACCTGCTCAATTTTGAGTCAGCCTTCCATCCTTCTGAGATCGGTAAAATGAGGACTCAGATTGTTGGGGGACAATAGGCTGACTCTGTATACCGCTTAGAGGGGACTGTAAAGCATTATGAAGTACTATTGCTATTGCTTTTCCCGTTAGAAATCTGAATTCTTTGAGATAGCCTGTCATTCTGATGTGTATTGTTCTGATGTGTATTGTTTACATATTACATATGTATTGACATATACATTGTTTCCTTTATTATATATAAAATCAATATAATCAGAATCCCTAGTAAAATAGACAAATTAAATAAATGTTTGTACTTTGTGTACATTACCAAGTCTCTTGAAAGATACAATCTAAGATTCTTTTTTTTCTTTTGATGAACACGTCCTCCTGATCCTTGTTTTTCTGATTCTTAAATTTAGTACGACCATTTGATATCTTCCTTTAACATATGTATCTTTCCCTTGTTTGCAGGTTGTTATGGTGTTGATGGTGAAAGTGATTCTATTATGAGCTCCGCTTCAGAAAATTCCACTGAACCATGGTTCTGTGATGCTTGCAAATGCGGAGTCTCTCCAAGCTGTGAACTTTGTCCCAATCAAGATGGAATCTTTAAGGAGACAGATGCTGGCAGGTTAGTTGCAATAAAATACAAGTAGGTCTCTGAAAATTATCATTTGGTTTTCATGCTTTTTAAAATAAATTTATTTGGTATATATAAAGAAGCAAAAATATACAAATAAGACAAACAATAACAGAAATAAAGACAAAAACAAAAGCATATTTTAAAAGCTCAATTTTGAAACACATATTAAAATTTGATTATGTAGAATAATATTGATTAGTCTTTCCATTGCATTAATATTCTGCCAGTTCATTAGGACAGAGTAAATGCCTTACAGTCCAGGACTGTAAGTATTTGTTAATGTAAAATAGTAACTTAATACCAGTCATACAAATGGAATTTAGCTGATATTTAATAATTGAGCTGAGGTGGCGCAGCAGTTAGAGTGCAGTACTGCAGGCCACTTTAGCTGACTGTGTTCAGCAAGTCAGCGGTTCAAATCTCACCGGCTCAAGGTTGACTCAGCCTTCCATCCTTCCGAGGTAGGTAAAATGAGGACCCAGATTGTTGGGGGCAATGTAAATATATATATACATTGCTTACTGGTGTACACCGCTTAGAGGGTGCTTGCACTTAAAGCGGTATATAAGTCTCATAAATAAATAAATAAATAAATACATTAAAAGGAATATAAAAATAGCTAACCTAAAGAATGACTTAGATAACTTGTTTATATTGGATTTAAGAAGAGATCTGAAGGATTTTGTGAGAAGAAAGAAAAAATGAAAGAAAAACATTATTTGAAGGCAGATTAAAATTATTAAAATTAAAAGGAAAGAATATAAAGCGGGTTTATTTCATCAAGGTTAAAATAGATATGGTGTTATTTCTGGTAACTGTTAATGGGACTTTTGCTGACCAAGACTGAATGATGAGATTTTAAAAATCAGTTTTAGATAAGAGATGAAATAAGGAATTAAGAGATAGATTGTTATATTTTAATAGAAGGTGATAAATTGTTCAAATTGTTGTGACAAAGGAGTCACTTCTTTAAATATTTATTTATTTTCTTTGCTATATTATTATTTTTTATTTTTTCTTTCTATACTATTTTTTTATTTTTTCCCTTAACTTTCTACTTTTTTCTTTTATTTTTTGTAATTTGTATTTTTATCTGTTCAACTACAATATTTAATAAAAGCATTGTTAAAAAAAATCACAATCACCCCCCCAAAAATTGGGAAAAGCTTAGAAATGAAAAATGTTCAGCATCAAATCAGTCTTTCACAGTTTTTAGCCTTAAAATAAATAAAGACACTACTTTGGTGTTAAAAGCTGTTGAAGGAGCTATAGATTGCCATCCATCTATTCAAGGTGCAAGAACATTTGGCTGGGCTGGGCATTAACAACTTGCCAGATACCATTCTGGTGCTTTCAGTCTTAATCAGTTTTATTGCTGCTGCTGCTACAGTTTCTAACAATGAAATAACACTTAGTTCCATTTCTCTGTTTGTATTCAGAGACACGTACATATTTTGAATCAGGAGTTTCAAATACTAAGTCATTCATGAATTTACTATGATGTTGTTTTAAAGTGACTTTTTTGAATTTGAATATTTAATTTGATGAACTGCATTGAAAATGGCGTTACCACCAAAAATCAGTTAGTAGGCTGCAATTTCAGTGATGGGGTTGAAAGAATAATTTTACAATTTTGACTTATGCAGCTTAATTAATTGTCAATTTTCTCTTTTGAAAAAGTATGGAAGTATGTTTGTAGATAAGTATGAAAAAAACAATCTACTTTATAAGCTACTTTACAGCCATTTAAAGATCTTTCGCTGTGAACAATCTTTTTAAAATGAATTGAAAGCACTGAAAGCAGTTTTGAATATTCAGGAACTTATCCAATTGATTTGATATCACCATTGCTTTATCTGGAAGAAGTTCAGTGATATATATGTGTTTGGAAGTCTGAAGTTGAAATGAGACTTTGGAGAAAAGTATCGGTAGCACAGAGCTAGCATTTTGGGAGTGTTAAGACCTATCCCTGATTGCCTGGATTTTTGCAGCCCGGATATATATATATGTTTTCGCGGGAATTTGTGTGTAGGTCTTTGGTTGTTCGGGTTTTCTCCCACATAAAATTGGAAGTGTCTTGGCACTTCTTGACACTTGGCACTTCAAATTTTATGTGGGAGAAAACCCGAACAACCAAAGACCTACATATATATATATATATAACTTCAAATCTTAAATAAGGAAACAATTTGCAATACATGATGCAAAATCTGCCATAAGCAGCATCCGTGTCGAAAGTTGGTGGAGACAAAAAAATTAGCGGGGTACTATCTTGCTGAATTGTGGAATAAAATATTATTTTCAATTAGAAGGGCAGATACAAGATTTTGTTGCTTATCTATTTGGAATCCAGTCAGAAAGTAAAGTACCTTTTTGTATGGTAATAGAGAAGAAAATCAAATCTTCATGTTGTAAAATATATTAATTTATAAATTAAAATATAATAAACACAATTTGTCTTCAGTGGACTTAATTTGACTATAGAAGGAATTTCAGCTGAGTGAATAAATGGACTGGTTATGTTGGATTGATGACCCATAATAAAGGGTTAGCTTGATTTTATTTGATATGAATGGAATGTGAGAGCGAAAGGCTTTGGATATATAAATGGAGTTTCAATATAGGGAAAAGGAAAAAGAACATTTTGCTTTTTAAAAAACAATGTCAACAGTCATTAAGTAGTGATGAAACGTACAGGTTCTGATCTGAAGCAGTGGAAAATATCTCAGGAAGGTGGAAAGGAAAAGGAAAGAAATCTCCTTTTTTCCTGCACTATTGAGCATTGAATAGGTTGTAAAAGCATCCTATTCAAAGTTGAAAAGGGTACTCACAGTACACATATTATTAAATAATGGGGAGCCACAAGGTTGCCTACTTATAATTTACTTGAACCTATGATATCAAAAGGTGGTTGTACAGATAAATTGTACATTTTTTTTCTGGCTTTCATTTGTCAGATTATTAAACTATTTGTTTTAAAAAAAATTTTTAATATTAAGTGATATTCCATTAAATAGTTAATTTTAAAGACATATCTTTTTAAATGTATTCTTTAATTTTATGAATGATTTAGATAGGATGACATCTTCTGTTTTGCTATAATCAAAATAAGACTATTGTCTTTATTTTCTTTCTTTCTTTTTTTCTTTCCAATCACCAACATCTGTCATCTTTGCTCTGAGCAAAATAGATGGGGAAGTAACACGAAAGATTATTCTTCTTTGATTACCCAATTTGTCTTAATTACAAGGTTCTCAAACATGTGCAACTAAATAAATGAGCAGGAAAACATTTAGGCAATAGTATTAAAAGCAGCTGAAGCTGCCTCAGCTGTGAACTTGACTGACTTCTGTGTATTTTAATAAAGATTCAGGATGGAGTTCACACATAGGTGGTTGAGGAAATGAGACACTTGTGTGCCAATCATTCTGAAATGGCAGTTTAAATCTGTAATACTACAGTACTTGTGTGACATGTACTAAAACATTTTGAGAAGGTCACTATGAAGCAAGCAGCCAGCTGTTGGTTTTATCATAGATAAACTCCTACAAAGTGCAGCAGCATTTAATACACCAGTGGAGCATGAAAAAACTGTGCAAATTAAATTGAGAAGCAGCTGTGGTTGAAGATGTGTATCTTTATATTGAACTCCTCGGGGTGCAATAGTGGGGTTGCATTAAAACATTCTATCAAAAATTTACAGCCAAACCCTTGCCTTTTAAACTAAAATAATTGAAGATAATGTGAAGGTGGCCTATTATTTCCCTTTATTTTCCAACAACTGGTTTTCCTTTGTAATACTTCAGAAATAATTTTAAAAAATTAAAAGTCCTCATGCTCTTCATAAAATATTTATTTAATAAGTTAACATTTTGTTTTTGCATAAATATTTTCTATAAAGGATTGCTCTATATTTCCACATTTTTTACTTTTTCTCATAGAAAACACATACAAAAATATGGCAAGCTGCCACATGGCAAAAGTAGTTGGGGATGTAAGAAATTTTGTATAGATTGAAATTATTTTCAATTCTGCTTGGAGCATATTAAAATCTGATTTAAAATATTCACAAACTTGCATAAATATCCTTGTATAAAATTGTTTCATGATTTTACAATATCTATTTTTTAGATGCTGCTAAGAGATCACACTTCTTAAACACAAAGGATAATCTTCTTGATGGGTTACAGTCCTTGGGCAAATGTATACAAGAAAAAGCAAAACAATACAGACGAAGCCTTTGGGATTGTACAAACATTAGAACAAGCCTAAAATTCTGCTGATTGCATAGTGTAGACCAGGGGTGTCAAACTGCCGGCCCATGGGCTGGACGCGTCACGTGGAAGCCACGCCCACCCCATTGCCGGCAATGGCAAAACCAGCCTGATACATTGTGCGACGTCACGTGACATCGCGAGTTTGACATGCCTGGTGTGGACAGTTGAGAAAAGAATACATTTTAACTTGCAAATAGCCAAGTTGCAGTGAATTTAGTTTTAAGATTACATCAGAAATATTTATTTTCAAGTTTGAAGAGCCTAATCAAATAAACATGATATAGAAAAAAAGTTAGAAAATTGTAGTATAAATTTCAATAACTTAATTGTGCCCTTGTGCTTTTAATGTTCATCTGAAGTCATAAGATCTTAAGTTTAATGGTGGCTTCTAAGCAGTGAGAACCCAGTCAGAATGGTTATATTTTGACAATTGCCAGTACAGATTATCATAATAGAATCTTCATAGAGCTGTTCTGAAAAACAATTTGGAAGTTGCAACTTAGGGAAGTGTTAAAGATGTTCAATATTTGAGGGAGTGACTTTTCTGATTTACACTTGCCCTAGGATTATGGTTTGTCAAGAAGATTGTCCTTTGCATCTCAACAGTGTAATCTGTACATAATAAAGAAATGGAAGATAGAGCCTTCTTGGCTGGGATGATCTTCTTTTAGAGATACAACAGCAATGCCACTGATTATTTACTTAAGCCATTATTTGTATTGATTATATGTTAATTATATTTTGCTTATTAGATTATTAGTGTGTTTCTATATTTCTAATGTATGGATGAATTGCAAGTTATTTTCTTTTGTGCTAAGCTCTATTCTTGTAGAATGGGAGAAATATTTTACTTAATAAATACAAATTGATCAGTGAATTCTTTTCTGCACATATTCCAATTATCTCTATAGAAGCTTACAATATAGAGTGTTCAAAGGAATGCAGAAAATATAATAACTTTTTGCTTTAATCTCAAGAAGGGTATGTAAAATGTTAGCTTCAACTTCATTAATTGTAATTTAAAACATATTCTTGTGCTATACTTCAGATTTGTAGAAGATACAATTATCAATTGGATCAATGCATCGTTTTATTTTCTGTCATTTATTGTTCAGATGTAAAGATATTTCAATATTTTTATATATAGGGGGCAATTGTCTATCCCGTTGAAAACAAATATAACAAAATGCACAATATCCTTTTTTTTTATAGATGGGTCCATATTGTTTGTGCACTTTATGTTCCCGGAGTGGCATTTGGAGATATTGACAAATTGCGACCAGTAACACTTACAGAAATGAACTATTCCAAGTATGGTGCAAAGGTAACATCAAAAGAGTTGTATTTTAAATGTAGATTGCTATTATGTATTTTTTTGTTTGCTTCTATTCATTGCAGCTTTCAAAGTGTATTGTAGATTAATATAATGATTTTTTTCTATTATTATGAACTATCTTTCTGGAGATAAGAAACAATGTAATCATTGTTCATTGTTATTGGTGATCTTGTATATTTCATATGGATTATATTATCTTTGTTGAAATTGTAATTGAAAGTGAGGCAGAAAAGCAAATATACAGTTTTAATTAAATTTTATTACAGAAATTTAGAATAATTTATGTTAATTTTTCTGTTGAAAGTAGAAGAAAAATCTATTTCAGTTTGAATTTCCCATCATTTGTACAGTCTGCTTATTTCTCCATTTTATTTTTCTTGCATTTCTATAAGATTGGATTCTTTAAAAATACATTTTGAAAGTAGTCAAGATACTTAAAGCACCCTGTATATACAGATGGTCCTTGCTTGACAACCATTCACCTGTACAGCTTGCCTGTACTATAACTATAGGGATGCTCTGTCCATTTGGCTGCCCTGAACAGCAGAATTCCTCAACATTGGTGATGTTGGTGCTGAAGTAGAGACTCACGGCCTTGAACAGTCCCATCAGGCCATCACCACTTCTGGGCACCTACACTGACCCCATTGTTACTATCACCACAAGGAGTGTCATCTGAGGCCTTGCACCATGGTCAGCCTCCACAGTGCAAAACCCCAGCTACCCATGTGCTCTATAGGTGTTGCTCCCTCTAGATGACCTTTGCTGTCTTCCTCCCATTGCTCAGAAAGAATGCCTGGCTTGGCCCTCTGTAAGACAGCTTCTGGCCAGACATTCTTCCTCAGGCTGCTCATGCCTTTCTCCAATTCACATGCGCTGCTCTCATGTTTTGGAAGGCTTTAGAGGCTTTTGCATAAAGTCAGACTGGGGGCACCTTGTCAGCAGCAGAATGAAGACAAGTAAAGGCAGCGGGGTGGTTGGGGCTTTGCTCTGTGCACTAGAGTAGCTTGCAGCATGCTTGAGGTTCACTCCTCGGCAGCAGCAGAGCTTGGGCTGAAGTAGAAGTCCAAGGGCTGTGGCATCTGGCTGAGACTGCTGAAGATCTTAGACCTCTTTTTTGGCCCCAGTGCTGCCTCTACTCCAAGGAATGTCATTGTGCAGGATGTAATGGTATGTTGAAATAACTCAGAGACCGGGAGGCAGAAGGAGAGATGCTGCCTAGGGAACAGTCAAGTAAGGGAAGACATAGCCTGCAACTGCATAATAGAAAAATAAAGAGACTTAGGAAGAATCCTTCCTAACTTCTGAGTCTGTAAAAGAGACAGAAGAGATGCACACTATTGTATTTGCAAGATTCTGTTATAATAAATTAGAATTAGCTCATCTGGTCATATTTCCTATCTGGTCTACCTGGGAAGGTTGACAAGGTGGCTAAAGTAGCAGATACGGACAGAGAGATAGTTGGGTGAGAACCTTAAAGAGGAGACAGTCCTTCACTTTACCAAGGCTCAGGGCTGGGAGGGAACTAGCTGGGAATGACTTGGATCAAGATGAGTCTTAGGACTGGTGAGATTTTATTAACAATGCAAGTTGGGATTGCCATGATTGTGTCTCTAAACAATGAAGTCATGTGACATTGCACTTTACAACTGTATTACTTAGCAAAGAAAATTCCAGTCCCAATTACCGTGGTTAACTATCTATAGATAATACTTGATGTCTGTTTTTCTAGTATTTATTCCATTGCTTTCTCTCACTGATCTGCGGCAGGAATGTAGCTTCTGTGAAGATCCTCGTTTTGCCAGAACTGGTGTTTGCATTAGCTGTGATGCTGGAATGTGTAGAGCTTATTTCCATGTGACCTGTGCTCAGAAAGAAGGCCTATTGTCAGAAGCTGCCGCAGAGGAAGTAAGTAAATTTGAGTATTCTAATGATTCAATCTGAGTTGGGATCTTTTACCATTAAAAATCCAGATAAACATATTAAAATATCATACCTAACCGCATTTATATTTTGTTATACTGAAGTCATCCTTAGGTTTAAGTGCAAGTAGTCGATGAAAAAATATTTAGCATATTTATTTAGCATAGCATACTTTATTTTAAAGTTGATTGGGTTTTTTTCCTTACATCATAATTAACAGGCATTATCTGCCTTCCTCTTTTCCTTCTGTTTTCTTTGGAGAGATGGTTGTTTTTGATAGAAAGATTTTATCCTGCAACTGTTTTATACTAAAAATGTATAAATAGGTTGATTAGGACCTTCAGCTCTTATTACAGTTGAGTGCTTCTCTAATCAAATAACACAGGGTTCAGATGCCCCATGCCATCCATTATTTTTGTCTGATATTTTGTCAGATAATAATCTATCATAATTACATTGTTGTATTATATCTGTTTAAAACTAAAAAGCTGCTTTTGGTTGCAAAATACTTATTATCAACTGTGTTATTCATGTACTGAAAGAAAAAATATACTTGTTTATGTGTACATAAAATCAATAATTCTATAAGCCTATAGTTTTTCAGAAGTTGATAAGGTTTTTAAATTTGACTTGCCTTCATTAAAAAAATGAACAACATGAGTTGTGAATGAAGAGAAATATACGTGTAGAAATAGAAATTTATTCTTCTTAGCCTTCGGATTCATGCTGGAGCCCATCCTCGGGGAACTTCTCACTCTCCAGAATGTGTTCTGATCTGCACTGTGCATTTAATTTCGCAGCCAGTAAGATTGTTGGTCAAGCAGGGACAAAAATAGCAAAAAGACAAAAATAGAAATGATTGAAGCTGGTGGCCAGGTTGAAGCCCCTTCTCAGTCAACAGGAATGCTGATTTACCACCAACTTATCAGGTACTTAGAAGCCGAAGGCATGGCAGCACAAGGAAACAACAATCAATGACTTAATAGCCGGATACCCCATTTAATAATTAAAATAATTATTAATAACTAATATTAAAAGCCACACACAATCAGGTACCACATAAAACTAGAATAAAAAACCCAGTGCACACATTTTGGAGAGTGAGATGTTTCTTGAGAATGTGTTCCAGCATGAGTTCAAAAGTTGGAAGAATAAACCTGTAGTTCCAGTGATTTACTCAGATTGGATCCTGCAACATGAGTTGTTCATGCTATGATTGAATAAAACTGTTTTAGAAACTTTAATATTTTTTTCTGGATTATGAGATCCTGCACTCAGTCACTCATGCTCTGGTAAATTCTCTCTTGGATTATTACAACTCTCTCTACATGGGGCTACTCTTGAAGAGTGTTCAGAAGCTACAATTGGTCCAGAATGCAGCAGGATGGACTATTATGGATGCTCTCCTGAGTAGCATATGTAACACCACTGTTACATGAGCTGCACTGTCCGCAATCTGTTTCCAATTTAAGATGATGGTTATTACCTTTAAAGCCCCTATAGCAAAGGTCCAGGATATACGTAGAACCATTTTTCCTCAAGGGAATCAGCCTGCCCCGCTTATGCTAGCAGAAAGAACTTATTGTGAATGCTGTCAGCCAAGGAATTCCAGAATTCCTTGACAGAAATCTATCCAGAATGCCTGGACAGAAATCCAGGCATTTCTGACATGACTCACTTCCTTTGGAACATCTTGCCACAAAAGGTAAGATTTGCCCCCTCCGTTTTAAGCTTCAGGAAGAGCCTTAAACCCTGGGTATGCCAACTGGCATGTGATCGTGAAGGAAAAGCTGTTGACTGAAGGTGGTTATGCACTAACAGAGAAGGCACCTCCACCTGTCCCTCTGAACACATCTTTATTAGTCAGTTTTAATATAATTTTAAATCTGTTGTCATATTTTCTTATTGTAAGCCACTCAGAGTGACTTCAAACTCTGAAATAACTGGAAAATAAATTTGATAAAAAATGTTCTTCATTTTTGTTTTGTTGCTTTAGGATATTGCAGATCCTTTTTTTGCTTACTGTAAACAACATGCAGACAGAATGGATAGAAAATGGAAGCGTAAGAACTATTTGGCTTTACAGTCCTACTGTAAAATGTCTTTGCAAGAAAAACAACTTTCACCTGAAGCTCAGGTATTATTATAGTTTGTTTGGTACAAGTTTCTGAATAATAATGATACAGGAAAATTAAATGAAGCAAGCATTTCTGGAAACACTGATTCTCAAATATTTTGTTTACCTGTTTGCAAACAGTGTAACATTTTTCCCTTGACTTAAATTAACACCCTCTCAGCTACTTCAGTTTCCATGAATCCGCATCTTTATCCTATTTAAGTTGATATAATGGAGATCATGATATGACAAAATTAACTAATGAAATCATAGCATTTAAGATTATATTTAAAAGATGAAATAGAAAAGAACTCCCAAGAAATTAAATTATTAAAATGAGATAAATAAGTGATTTACATTGGTACATGTACTCTAATTTTGCAAATATGCAGATAATATCTAACCTGGTTATGATTGATGAGAGATCCATCTTATGGTTATGCAGGTGGCCATTGACTTATGACTGTTTGTTAAGTGGTCGTTTGAAGTTACAACACTGAAAAATGTGACTTATGATTGGTTTTTGCATTTTTGCCTGCCACAGTTTCCCCATGGTCATGTGATCAAAATTAGAGTTCTTGGTAACTGGCTTACAGTTGAAGCATCCCAAGACCATTTGATCACTATTTGCAACATTCCCAGTTGGCTTCTCACAAAGTCAGTGGGAAAGACAGCAGGGAAGGTCACAAGTTGCAGTGATGTGATATCTTGCTTAATGAATAAACTACTTAGTTTGATAAAAAATATGGCTTAAGTCAAGGACTATATCTAATGGTTAGCTTGAGTAGGCTAATGCATAGCCTAATTGATGCTGTCAGTTTGGATGCAATAAAAATAACTTGGAGATTAGAAAATTTATCTATGGCAACTGATCCTGATGATTATATTTTATTTTCAAAATCAGAAGCAATATTCCTCTGAAAAGTGGTTGCTGGGTAAAAAACATATAGAGGAAAGTCAATACTTTCATATTCTGCTGGTGAATTTCCTTTATGGATCAAATTGACTAGCAGAACTCTTCTTGTGTGCCATGAGTTGGAAAATTCCAAATTGCTTTTGAAGAAAAATAGATTATGAAGAAAATAGATGCCATTATCAGACTTTTTAAGTTTCTGGATTGCATGATGGGATAGCATGTTCTTGAATAATACAGGGTCACTGTATATACAGTAGAGTCCATAATAGACTCTTTTGATAATTCATTTTGCTTATATTAAGTGCAGTTTGTCTTTGCTACAATATAAATGTAAAGCTTTTAAAATGAGATGAAGTTTCTTTCCCTTGATTTTGTATGCTATAATGTTTAATTTTGTGACATAGGCTCGAATTAATGCCAGACTTCAGCAATACCGGGCTAAAGCAGAATTAGCACGCACCACAAGACCACAGGCATGGGTTCCAAGAGAAAAACTGCCACGGCCACTCACTAGCAGCGCTTCAGCAATACGTAAGCTCATGCGTAAAGCTGAATTAATGGGCATTAGTACAGACATCTTTCCTGTTGATACTTCAGATACCAGTTCCAGTGTGGATGGAAGACGAAAGCATAAACAGCCAGCATTGACTGCTGATTTTGTGAATTATTATCTTGGTAAGTCTGAAATAGTCAAATTCAATTTTTGAAGCTAGTTTTTGCTTCAAATAGTTCTTGATAGAGGGGTGAAGCAGATTGCAATGGGAGCACTAATAAGCAATGTCTTCTGTTGCAGTTCACTTAGTCTTGTTTTGTTTTCAGAAAATACTAGATTTCTCTATGACTCCTATGTCTCTGAAGCAACCAAGAAAAAAACTGAACTTTGAATGGAAGAACTATCTTTCCCCTTCTCTTTCCCCTTTCTAATATGCTTCAAATAGAGGGCAAGAATTTTCTTTCTTTTGTGATTAGAGTGACTGAGACCTTTCAAAGTTTATCTCTTCCCCCCCCCTTCACCACCATGGTCATTTTAGCACTCAAGAGCATCTTTTATCCCTCTAGATTATTAACTCCATTGTTAGATAGACATTTGCATAATATGAATCTGCCATGGTTCAAAGTGGGCTTCAGTTCAGATCCATGATTTTACATTTATTCCCTAAAAATAAAGTGAAATTTAAAATGGAACTGAATGAATGGTAGTTGTGACTATTCCTTGTACTTAGAGTCATTGCAGCTTCCCATGGTCACATTATCATAACTTGTGACCTTCCCTGTCAGGTTCCAGCAAGCAAAATTAATGGGGAATCCAATAAGATGTCAAAGGTCATGGTAATATGAAGTCATCACTTAATGACCTACATGATCCTCACTTAACAATAGCAATAGCAAGGGACTATTAGAACTAGTGTCACCAATGGCACAATTAGTTGGTTTTTCAGTATGACTGCATTGCTTAATGAGTTCCATGAAAATGGAACAAGCATTTTTAAAATACTTTAAAATACGTTTACAATTTAGAAATTCTGTAGGTTCTTTTCATTTGTTCATTTGCTCTCCTACTATGCTACTTGTTCTGAATTGTTCTCTAACTGTATGCTTATTGCTACAGGTATTTTTTATAACAGAGAGATTTCTACTCTTGGAAAGTATATAAAATATATATACTGCTCAAAAAAATAAAGGGAACAGAGACGTATAGGATCCTATATGTTTGTGTTCCCTTTATTTTTTTTGAGCAGTATATTATCACTGCTTTGCTGTCAGATCAAGTTTACTAGAATTTTGTTTCAAATACTTCAATATATTCATATAAGAATGATGTTGTCATTGAATTCTCTTACGCTTTATACTAAATAAAAACTGCATATTAGCATAGCTATATTCTTTTGTTTTGATTTAAAGATACAGTGAGAGATTCAGTTATTTGAGTATAACTACAATCTCTTATTTCATACATAAGTAAGGTGTTGATTTTTATTTTAGAGAGGAACATGCGCATGATCCAGATTCAGGAGAATATGGCAGAACAGAAGACAATTAAGGATAAGCTGGAGAATGAACAAGAAAAACTTCATATAGAATACAACAAGGTAAGAAAGCCATGTAAAATTTATATGATGTAGTTAATTAATTCTTAAAACATAACAGAAATTAAATTCAGCGCTCTTTGACTCATAATTGAACATACACACACACACACACACACACACACACACACACATCTGAAGTTAAACTCAATGTTTCAGTGGTCTTCATTCACAACTCAGTAACTTATTGAAAAACATTTCTCAGATTCTTGTACTTACTTTCAATTATTTTTAATGACTGAAACTGAAATCAGTCATTGGGACAAGGTATTATCAAAGAAGGTAATTTTAGGAGCATTTTTATTTCTTATTTGTAACTACAAGACTACAGTAGAGTTCAGGACCCACAGAGATAGTGCTGTCTGTCAAACTCTTTATTGGCAGCAGGCAGCTACCCATGCTTCTAGAGAACAGTAGTGACTCAGCAGTTTAGAAGACATACATATGCATTATAATCTCCAAGTCTCTGCTGCATTCTTGAAGGTATGTAATATAAATTTTAAATAAATAATTATTTAAGATTGTTTAAATATACCACAATGTAAAAAAGATGTTAAGACTCTTGAAAGAATACAGAGAAGAGCAAAAAAGATGATTAGGAGACTGGATGCTAAAACATGTAAGGAAGGATTGCTGGAATTGGGTATGTCTAGTTTAATGAAGAGAAAGACGAGGGGGGACATGATAGCAGTATTCCAATATCTCAGGGGCTGTCACAAAGAAGAGGGAGTCAAGCTATTCTCCAAAGCGCCTGAAGGCAGGACAAGAAGCAACGGATGGAAACTAATCAAGGGGAGAAGCAACCTAGAACTAAGGAGAAACTTCCTGACAGTTAGAACAATTAACCAGTGGAACAACCTGCCTCCAGAAGCTGTGAATGTTCCAATACTGGAAGTTTTTAAGAAGAGACTGGACAGCCATTTATCTGAAATGGTATAGGGTTTCCTGCCTGAGCAGTGGCTTGGACTAGATAACCTCCAAGGTTTTTTATTATTATTATTATTACTATTATTACTACTACTACTACTACTACTACTACTACTACTATGATGATGATATTCAAATATAGAATTTAGCCATTATAGATAAGATTACTATTTACTCTGGCTTTTAACATGCCCATGCTCTATTAGAATTGTCTAAAAATAAGGCATAGTCATGAGAAGAAAATGTTATTTCAAGTTAAACCTAAAGGACTTAATGTAATTTTATATTTTCTTACCTTAAGCGTACAGATTCGTTGTACTGAAGTTTTCATTTCCAGTATAGAAATACTTGGCATTTTGTTACAAATGGAAATAACGGAGTGCAACTGTTGTGATGTTTCTTACTGCCATCATAATTTTATTATCAGATAAAATTATTTATGTTCTTTTTTTACTAAGCAATCTGGATGCCTATGTTTTCTTTCTGGAGTTATGAATGGTTGATTAACTTTACTGCTTTCACTAGCATTGACATGAAAGACCAATTTTATTATTTAAATATTTATGTTAGAAAAGATATTGTAAGTAAAGAATGCCTCCTCCTGGAGAAGAGATGCTAAATAATTTCTGCATTTTTAATGTGATTTTATTTTTTAGTTGTGTGAATCTTTAGAAGACCTTCAAAATATGAATTCAAAGCTACGAAATGAAGGGCAGGGAATGTGGGCTCTCCTAGGAAGAATTATTGGACAGGTTGGTCTCTCCACTCTTTTCCCCCTTTTTTATGTTTTTTAGATCACATATACATAAGAATATGCTTTTCTCTTTTTTACTGCCACTTTTGGTGGGTGGAAAGATACATTTGATAAAGTCCTGGCCTTTCTCTTGGAGGTAATGATTTCTGATTGAAATATATCTCGGGCTCCAAATGGTACTTACTAGGAACCTATACTTTAATTTTGTTTTTGTTTTAGCTATCTTGTTTGCAAAATTCTTTCATTTGCTATAACTGATTGACCTGTCATTTGTGATGAAGCTAAACCTGAAGCATGAGTTAATCTAACTGCTCTCGCTGTCTTTTGTTTTTGTTTTTGACTCATAGCAATTGAAGCTTCCAGACAAGCAGTTTTTGTTGGAGTAGATTGTTTTCTAGAGCTTCTTTTTGTGAATATACTACACAAATAATATTTTTAAATTATATATAAAGATTCCTTTTCTTTTTAAGGAAACAGTATTCTAAAGCACAAGTGGCTTTTTATAGTAGCAATAGCTGATTATCTTACCACATCATTTTTAAATTCACTGTGTTATAAGACATTTTTTAACTAAATGGTTTCAATATTTAATTTTATTATATGTTTAGCTACATTTAAGGATGCAAGGAACCTTTTTTCCCAGTTATCTATCTATTCTCCTTCTTGTTTCCACTTTTTTATTGCTAAATGTTAGAATTTACACTTCTATATTTAATTGACTCCATTTACAAATACTAATTTCTGTGGTTTACTGTTTAGTACTTCTCATCTTAGTAGTCATAAAATTAAAAATATTCAATGAGTTAATATAGAGTTCTCAAGAAATACAAATACAATTGTGTGATTTTCATCATGAAAAGGTATTGTTTTTTTAATTATATAGGTCATTATTAATGTTATTTTTTTTATAAAATAAAGTGATGTCTTAAAAAAAATAGACCACTGGCCAGGAATAGTATTATAAATAGCCTAAGGATTTAACAGTGTACACTTATATAGATCTTCCAAGCTGGCTGGTATATTTATTCTAATATGGTTTACTGGAAATCTATTACCATAAGTGTAAGTTTCTTAATAAGAAATTTTGCCACTTTTAAAAAAAATAAAATTTACTAATGCAATTATTTAATAATGATAATAAAAAGTAGTAGTTTCATTTGCATAGTTTGCATGACACCTTTTTCCAGTTGGTTGAACAGATGCAGCCCCTTAGGGCCCTTTAGAAATGACTTTGATAGATGGTTGCTGTCTGTGAAGCTAGCATACTGCATATTAGTAGAAACCCGAAGAGAATCTCTGCTGCTTTGTGGAGAGTTTGGTCCAATAAGATAATTTTTCTAATTAACCTATGGAGCACCACTGTAGCAGAGATGTTGAAGAAAATAAACTGTTTCAGTATTATTTTGTGAAGTGTAGTAGATTTTTCTTTTTCCTTTTTCCTTTTAACCTTCTAAACCAGCTTGTCCTTGCCTATTTCTTTTAAAGCTTTCTCCGTTAAAGGGGGGAAAAGTTAAAAAGGCAAAGCTTTAATGTCTCTGGCTTCTTTTTCTATTGCATTGAGAAATATGTGAATGCAGTTTCAATTCTGAGAAGAAATTTGGAGACAGAAAATATGACATAGTCACATTTGTGACTTGACAGTTTTTCACAAATCTCTTCCGGTCAACTGCTGACTGGGAAATACACGGATATGTTCATTATATATTTGTCTTACCAATATTCCTATATTTCCTCAAACCCCACAGAAACTAAATATACCAGCAATTTTACGAGCACCCAAGGAGAGAAAGCCCAGTAAAAAGGAAGGTGGAACTCATAAGACTACAACCCTTCCAGCAGTACTTTATAGGCAAGTAGCAGCAATACTCTCTTGTGCTCATTAGAAGAGCAAACTGCATAATTGCACAATCGTAAATTAGAGGTTGAAAAAAGAAAATCTTTTCTGTTCTCTCCCCATTTACTTCTTTGCTAACAATCTGGTTGATTAAGGGACTTATAAAATAAAAGAATTACAGATATTAGTGCCTTGGGTTAATAATTCATCTCAGGCCAATATGGCCAATATTGCTTTTAACAAATTTCAATTTCAGTCAACTGAATATATTTTTTTTTCTTCCATTGCTTTCCATTTCTAGATGCTACAGTTTGCTATATAACTTGACTGTTTGTTTTTGTTTTTTTATTTATAGTTAAAGCTTGGCTATAAACTACTGATAGACTTCATTTTGAAAGAAAATATATTTCATACCTGAATTATTCAAATCCATTTTTATTAAAATTTTCAGAACAAACTACCATAGAAAAGACTGTACAGAATAGCTGTGTGCTTTAAAACCAATCTCCCTTTTACATAGATATATTTAAAATTATTAACCTAGATATTTATTGTTACACATATATATAATTCATTTTATTATCTGGTTCCCTAATTAATATTTAAGTGACACTCCTTAGGGAAGCCCAAGATTGAAGAAAGCAATATTTCTATATTGTTACTAAGAAAATGATGTAAAAGCCACTATGAGTTAAGTTTTACATAAAGAGTTTATTTTACATGTATACTTATCAATATAAGAAAAAGTTCAACACTTACAAGCATGTAAGTGGGGTCTATCAGTAGTTTGCTTGATATTTTCAGAAAGAAGTCACCATCTGCTCCTGGCTGTTTTCAACATTTTATAATAAAACAATTTAACTCCTAAATATCTAAATAGCTAATTTTATAGCTAATATCTATTAATATAGTTGTCCTCCTAAATTATGTATTTATTCATGTACTCACTCATTGACTTATTTTATTAGAAATGTATCTCAGTGAATCTGTATTGATTCACTTATTTCCTGGCAATATGACTAAAATTAAAAGCAAAAAAGTTAGCTTGAATTTGAAATTAGTCTTATATTTTTAAAATTTCAAGAATTTCAAGCTAGTAACTAACCTTTAAAATGCCCTGGTAAATAAGAATATTTAATTATCTGCTTAAGATCTTCTGCTTATGCATAAGGATCTCTGGATTCTACCCCATATTAATTTTGAGACAGCTTAGCAAAGTATTTGCATTTTCTTAAATGAAACCTTTTCCTGCATTTCCAAGTTGTGGGATTTGCAAGAAGAACCATGATCAGCACCTCCTTTTGCTGTGTGATACTTGTAAACTCCATTATCACCTTGGATGTCTGGACCCTCCACTTTCAAGGATGCCAAGGAAGACTAAAAACAGTTACTGGTAAGAATATTATAAATATATCCTATTTCCTTTGGGATTAAGAAATAAGATCATGAACCTACTATATAGAAATCTGAAGTTTTTTCATGCAAAGTTTTTAATTTAGATCTTACTGGAGAGTTTTTCAAATGTTCTTACATGTTTTTTATTCCCGTAGCGGTGCTGATGCTTGAAATTTTACAAAACAGAGGTCCCTTCTTTTATAACTTTATTGTGGTCTAGGAAGATTTAAAAAAAAAAAAAATTATGCCGAACTAACTACCAAGTCACTGATTTCTTTTCCTAGAAGTTAACTTTTATAACTTTTTAAATAATGAGGTTTATTGAAGTGAACAGATACAAAAATAAAAAGTGATACAAACTAAGAATATTGATAAAATCAATACAAAAAATATAAAAAGAAAAAAAATGCAGAGAAAATAAATAAAAGTAATAAAGATATATAAAGAAATGATTTTTTCCTTCATCAAAGCAAGTACAAACAATTTAAATAACTTATTTGCTTTACTTTCATGTAAGTATAGGAAGACAAAAATCACCTCATATCTCATCTCTTATTTATAAATATATATACATTATGTATGATCTCAGTATTGATAAAGATGTGTTACATGAGGATTGGCCCCTACTGCCCTATCAAAAGTTTCCATTTCTGACTTTTACTACTGAGGGAAAATATTAAATATATAAAGATAGTTATAATAAATTATTTGGTAATAGATCTACTTACATTTTGGAGTAAGAAGACTAGCATACCAAGTGCAGCTCTCAAACCAGAGAGCTGAGCAGAGAACAGAGTTATTTTATAATGGTGACGATGACAACTTCCATTTTAAATATTTAATAATGCATATTTTTCAGCAACTGCTTTCGTGAGTGTTGTTGTTACCTATCACTGAAAAACTATAGGAAAGGTCAAATTAACAAAACAAACAAGATAACTCTGTGTTTAGTCTTAGCATTCAACCAGCCAACTGGCATTTTGAGGCCTTAGTTGTAATTTTTAAAAAGAGCAGTGTTAAATCCACATACGTTTAACGGTATTTTGATACTAATTTCTGTTGACCTGACTTTTGTTCTTATGTTCTGGCTAGTCTGTTTCCAGAAGAAATTTTCGCTTATAACAGCACTAGCCTTCTTGCTGTATTTTAGCAGATGGTACTGTTTGAAGGGTGAGTCTGCATTGCAGTCTCCTGATATTACGGAAAACTCCAGAAGGCCACTTATTGGTGTGGTATTGTTATCAGACGCCCCAGGGATGATTATATATTTCTGTCTTTATTTTCTTTCTTGGGAGATTTTGTGGATAGCAACAGAAAATATTTAGGAGACAAAACCTGAAAAATAGGGTGAAATGAAATGAGGTGGTAGAGGGTTGTATAAAGTTCCAGAAGTGTTTTCTATTTTAAAGTTATTCATCTTTCAATGCAGAGATTATAAATAAGAACCACAGACTTGAAGATCATACTCATTTAAACTAACTCCATTAATTTCATTGTATTTTTTTTTGCTGTGATTGAATTTTTAAGACTTCAACCTATATTATTGGAATAGTAATATAAAAATTAGTAATAAATAAATAAATAGATACCTGATCAGTACCATATTGAATTATTCCTAATATATTGTGGGATTGAATGAATACAAAAGGAATTATTGTATGTCATCTAGAATTTTTTTTAATGTTTTGGTTCAGGCATAATGAATACTGAAGTTAATTTTCAGTGACCAGATTAAATTGAAAAGTAATTCACTGATTTTATTCTGCCTTTTAGTCATGCTGAAAGATTATTTTAAAAGCCATACTATCAAGAAGAAATAAACTAACATCCCAGTGGTAAAAAGTCAAAGAGGTAGAAAGCTTTTATTTCCAAAAGTCTATGTAGTTGCCACAATTTCATGCTTCAGCTACATTTGTGATCACAAGCTTGGCTTTCACTTTTAATTTAACTAAGGTATATTCAGTGTGATGGGATTATAACAGAGAAAATGAGACTTATTGATTGCATCTGTTTCATCTTTAAATGTGTCTTTGTCAATTCTTTTCAAAATCATAAGAAATAGTATAGAAAGTTCTGTTGAAGTTTGCATTAGAAATGTGAAGTTCCATAAAACAATATCCCTGCTACTTACGATGGTTACAGTGTTTCTATTTCATGTCTTTCATTTACTCCTAGAAGTTCATATTGCTGTGAGAAAGAAGAAAAAAATACATAAATTCTGATTTATTTTATTTTTTTATTGCTGGAATTGTATTAAAGTGTACAATAATAGTACTTATATTGGAAGGCCTATTTATTATCTGTTGTAAAACATTTATTTTGGAAAAGTAATGGTTTTCTAATGGATTTTTTCTAGAATACTTTTCCAGCTCAAAGAACTATTGAGATTATGCATAGGAAAGATATAGCCAGCAACTCCCATAAATGTGGATTTCAAATGACAGAATTTTTCAGCCTGCATTCATTGCCAGTGACGTCTTGATATTGAAGTCCATCAATCCATGTTGATAATCTAGTTTACTTTACCTGTTCAGAAACTAAACTTAGTTAAACTTGTCTAGTGTTTGGGTGGGATACTGCTAGGAAATACTAATGAGATAGGGTAAACTGGAAGGTTAAAAAACAACTTGAAAGAAGAAAATAGTAAACTACTTTAGTATTGTTGCCAAGAAAACTGCATGAATATGTTCATGAAGCCACCAAAATTTGAATTTAATCCTGAAAGGACTTTATCTTATTATCTTATATCATATCAGTTGATGTGAAGTTACTTGTTACAAAAGTGATGAATATTAGTTGCATTTGTATATCTGCTTTAGGTTTTTCCTTTGGGCTTTTAAAACACTTGATATAGAAAAAAAATATAGGCATTCTATTGGAGTTATGAGAGTTTCTCCTATGATTCTATATTTAAAAAAAATTAAATAGTACATTAAAATAGAGATTCTATCTAAACAAATACTTTTATATGGACAGCCATCTTAATGTCAGAAACTGTTAGCTTTAGAGCTAGGGTTGTACTATAAAGAAATATCTTCCAACTAGTAACATCCAGATAATTAATTTTATGTAAGTACACAAGAAATGTTTATATTAACTTTCTATTAATTGATATCTCTCAGCTTTCTTTTAGGAGACTCTAGATTTATAGTAAACTTCCTCTCCTCCTATTGTAAAATGTGTGTTTTACATTTGGGATTCTTGCCATGTTTAATTTGAAGTGATTAATTGACATCCCAAAGACACCCAAGATGATTTGGCTCATCTTTCTTCAAGAGCTCAAATTCATTGTGGGAGATATTATTTGTAAAGAAGAAGTTGTAATAAAAAAGAGATCATATACTATATCTTCTAATAAAGAAAACCTGATGGGATGAAACATTTGGCCCATGTTTTTTTTCCACATGTACTACAATCTGTACATGTGAAAAACATACCATTGTTTCCTTTCCGCCTGTATGTGGTGTTCTTTTGCTTTCTAAACATAATCTTTAAAAAAACCTTTTTTCCCAATCTGTATGCTTTTGCTTTGGAAGCTGCTGAATTCAGCTTGAATTTCTATATATGTTGTCTTTCCAGGCAATGTTCAGAATGCGACCAAGCAGGTAGCAGTGACATGGAAGCAGACATTGCCATGGAAACTTTACCAGATGGAACTAAGCGATCAAGGAGGCAGATTAAGGAGCCAGTAAAATTTGTTCCACAGGATGTACCTCCAGAACCAAAGAAGATTCCTATCAGAAACACGGTAAATGACAGCTGAGGCAGAATACACATATATAAGCCTTTCTGTCTTAATGCAAAATTTATGTACCAAGTATCTCACTATGAAAATTTTTAACTGCTTAAAAATAATAACTTATTTCTAGGTTTTAGTATAAACTATGAAACATTTTGGGATCAGAAACTGGTTTAACCATGAAAAGTAAAATAATTTTTGATTTTTTCTTACATTTATTTCATATTATTATGTATTCCGCAGACTGTTTTATTTTTTGAACATATAAGCATATTGGAATTTAAAACATTAAATAGACAAAAATAATCCCTATGAATTCATGCAGTAAGTAATAAATGATCTTTTTATGCTTGAATGCGTAACTTTTCACCCTTTAAGTAGATAGATTTTGTTGTGACTGCTAAAGAACAAGAATTTTCTCATTGTGCATTCTGAAATGTCATATATTCAAACTATACCACATGAATATCTGTAATTCAAATATAGTGACAAGCTTTCAAGTTTCTTTTGCTGACAGAATATTTGTTTTTTAAGTTGACATAATTGAATCATTAGCGCTTATCAGGGCTTTTTTTCTCATAGAACGCCCAGAACAGAGTTCCGGCACCTTTTTTGGATGGAACCTTGTAGGGTAGGCAAGGCGGGTTGTATGACGTGTGTGAGTTACGGCACTTTTTTTTTTTTTTTTTAGAAAAGCACTGGCGCTTTATATACCTTGGCTAGTGAATGAAATCATTTCAGAATAGTGGATGTGTTTATGAGATGATTCTTCCTCACCTATTTACTAATATGAACATATTTTGCTTGATCTATGTGATTTGGGGAGCAAACAGTTGTCTTTCTGTGATGCTGAATTGATACTACACTATAACTGCAGATAAACAACATTTAATGATTGTACTTTTTCTTATTTTAAATAAACTTTAAATGAAATATATTTAATAAATATATAAAACCAATATAGAAGGAAATTTTATATTTATCCAGTAAATTTGTATCATAGCAACTTATTTTATATGCTGTAACCTATTTTTAATGAGGTCTTGCTTTATTTCCTTGTCAAAGTTAGACAATAAACTCAAGTCACTTAAATCCCTCATTCTGGGATATTTCTGAGGTTTGCTGCCTTGACAAGATTAACTTTCTTTGTGTAGTCTGTGGCCTGCTGTGAGTGATTAAGTGCTTTTTTATAGAAAATGTTCTATGTATAATACTATCTTATATTGCCCTCATTAATGTATAGTAACATTGTGTATTACATTTAAAAATAGGGAATATTGTTCAAGAAATAAGCACTTTGTATTCTATTTTTCCTGGCTTTTGTTTAAAAACTCAAAGAATTAATTTTGCCCAGGTTTCATAATACATATTATCCCAAGAACTGTTATTGGATTGAGGTATGGTTCAACTGCAGTTTGCCTAGAATTATTGCAATCTGGTTAATAAGTGTCTTGCCAGAATGCAAAATATAAAACCTTGTTTGGGTCCATACGTTATTCATAGATCATAATATGTGTATTACTCCTGGTTACTGAATTACAGTACTGATTCTGTCATGCGCTACCAAATATATTAGCTTGAATTCAAGCCAAATATAACTTTCATTGGCATCCCTTTCATCTTCTAGACCTATATGTTCTAAAGAAGAAGAGTTAAGGTATGGAGAATTTGCAAACAAAGACTTATTCTATGGATTGTATGGTCTATGTGTTGCTTTATTAATGTATTCCACTTTGATATATGTCTATTGTATAAAACTATGTAATAAGAGATGATGCTTGTGGATGAGATGTATAGACACATTAAAATTAGCTACGTTCACATATTATTTATGCTTGGCTTTTTTTTAATCATGGGTTACTAAGGCAAAACCAAACCAAAACCAGTTATACAGTTTATTTTCCTTTAATTTGTAATTGCACCTAGTTTCTTGTGGATTCATCAGAGGTCTGACATAATATATAAAACATAAAACCATAAGAACTCTCATAAAATCATCAAACAACTCTAATTTACATTTGTGTATATACTAAGGCACAATTACGGTATCAACAAGAAATCATGGTTTCAGACTGGTTTATTATCCTAACCTATTTGCAGATCACATAAAATTGCAAATAAACAACTGTTTTATCGCTTTCTCACATGTATATATCCATCTCTCATTCACAGACATATTTCACTTCATGTTTACTTCTGTAGCAAAGGAAACTTTTCTCCAACCTAGCATTGGAGAAGGAAATAAAAATTCAAAGATAAGAAACAAATTATTTGTTTTCTCTGCTGTGATTTCAAATAGAGCACTCTTTTTCTACTCCCATATAGAGGTCACTACAGATAGAACACAGATAAAGCGAAGAAAGGGTAAACAACATATTGCTGCAGAGATTTAAAAGCATAGGTGTGATTTGTGGGTTGTCTGTATGAATGCTTTTGTATTAATAGAATGACAGGAGATATAGTGTAGGAAAACTAATCCAAGATAAATTCTACAGATTTGTAGTTGCTTCTTGGTTTTGCATTTATAATGTCTTACATATATTTGAGAAAACTGTGGATGAGTACCTAAACTGAAACACTCAGTGATCCTACTCAAAATATTGAGGTTCAAGTTATCTTTTCCAATCCTTTTTCTGAGACCCATCTTACAAAGTAAAAAAATATTAAACAAAATTATATATATAATTTAGACATACAGAGTTGTTCTGCAATGAATCACTTATTTAGCTCATTACCAAATAATGTTTTTTAATTATTTACATCTTTTAACAATAATTGCTTATGTCTGAAGAATCCTATATTGGTTTTGTATGTTTATTAGATATTATATTTCATTTAAAGTTTATTTAAAATATGAAAAAGTACAACCATTAAATTTTATCTATAGTTACTGTATAGCATATTCAATGACAGATATAATCACAGGTTCAGAAAAAATTAAAAGTTAAAACACTTTTTACAAAATTGGGTGTTCACTAATTTGCATGCTGATGAAGTTGTGTTAGAAATGTAAGGTAGGAGACAATATATTTGAATTTACTTTCAAAATTTAAAATGTGTCATTTTTTAAAAAAATTCTTCTTTTATATCTTATATTTATGTATTATATTAAAATAGTACATTAGGAAAGTATTTTTCCTCCCATTATCTCTTCTAATGGAAAGAGCAATAAGAACTTTTTTTCTGAATTTTTCTCAGCATTCTTACTTTTTCTTGTCCATAAGTTTTTTAAAACTAAAGTATTGTTACATTTCCCTCAAAGAATCTGAGCCACTTGTCAGTTCTCTTAAGAATGTTTATAAATCAGTGGAGAGGTGGAAGATAGATCGTAATGTGGGTTGCTTAGAGAAGATGAGAATTTGCTAAAACAAATAAAAGATCAAAGACGTACTCATATTAAGAGAATTTACGGGGTGTTAGTAGAACTGGATTCAGAAGCAGAATTAGTTAAAGAATGTATGGTTAAATGGGCACAAAATTTTGATGAACCGGTTCTATTAGATACCTGGGAAATTATTTGGGTGAGGAATGTTAAATTTACACAAGCCCAAAATTTAAGGGAAAATTTTTATAAAATGTTTTATAAATGGCACCTTGATCCACAAAAAATGTCTCGTATGTATCCTGACTTGCAGCCTAAATGTTGGAGATGTGGATGTTTGGATGCTACGTATTATCATATCTGGTGGGCATGTAAAAATATAAAAGCTTTTTGGATTAAGATATGGTGGAATATCCAAAGAATTTTTAGAAGAAGGGTAAAATTTACCCCACAATTGTTTTTGTTAGGTATTGTTTCTGATTGTGATAGTAAAGAGACTATATTGATGTTAAATTTAATTACAGCAGCCAGGTTGTTAGTAGGGCAATGTTGGAAGAAGGAATCTTTGCCTACTTTGCAAGAGTGGTTTCTTAAAGTTTCTTATTTGGCGGAAATGGCAAAGATTTCGGCTTTTTTGAAAGATCAATCGCAAGAGAAGTATTTTCTGGTATGGAAAAAATGGATAGATTTCATACAATATAAGTTGGATATAAAAAAATACTACTTAGTTTTTGAATAATTTATATTTAAAATTTAAGATATTTTATAGACATTTCTTTTTAATTTTCTTTTTATTTTTCTTCTTATTTGATTTCTTCTTTTTCTGTTTCTTTTTTCCTTCCTTCTGGTATTTTTTTATATATATATTGTTGTTAACTATTTTATAATTTGTTTAATTAATGTATTTAGATTTGCTTATGGTTTATATGTGTCTTAAGATTTTTTTAAAATTTTTTAATTAAGCCTGTATTCAGCTCTGGGAAGGTCGGGGGAGGGTAGGGGAGGGTTGGGAGGGTTTGGGGAAGGGAATTGTTTTGTAAAACTTAAAATTTTTTAATAATAATAATAAAAAAAGAATGTTTATAAATCCAAAATTTTTCTATCTTGAAGTTCTTACCTCTTTCAATCCTGCCACAAAACGACAATTTTAGTGCCTATTTGATAACTGAAGTGATCTGTTTCTAAACTGACAATAAAATGGAAAGAACTTTCTGAACAGCCATTCCAAGTTAGAATGTGATGTTTCTGGGCGAGAGTGCTTTGAGCTTGAAATGTTTTCCAGACCTCTAGTTCAAATATTGAGATGATATTGTAGCAGCTATCCATGTTGAATTAAAAAGGGGAGTTTCAGATATATATCTCTTTAGCTCATGCTTATTGTGCAGTATAGAGTAACAGTTTAAATGCTACATTAGGGACCCACAGGTTTAAATTCTTATTCTGTCACTTTCACTCCTCTCATGACTTGTGATCAAATGGCTATTTTGGGAGCTTAATTTTAATTATAATAGAAATAATATAAATCTGCAGTTGCACAAGACCTAATGGGTATAAACATCCTTGGGATATCTTCCCAAGGGTGGTAGCAGATGAAATACTATCTACAGATGGCTAAGGTTTTCATGATGTTTGAATTAATTACATCTGACTTTAATTAAAAATAAATATAGAAGTACAGGTACTGAAA